CTGATCGATGGATCTCTGTCATCGATGTTTCTAACTCTCTATCCCTCTCCTTTCCTCTCTGTAAAAAATCAATAAAATATATATTTTTAAAAAAAAAGAATGGGAGGGAGAAGGAGAAAGAGGTAGAAACATCAATGAGCAGAGAGACTATTGATTGGCTGTCTCCTGCACATCCCGAACTGGGGATCGAGTCCATAACACAGGTATGTGCCCCTGACTGGAATCAAACCCGGGACCCCTCAGTCCGCAGGCTGACGCTCTATCCATTGAGCCAAACCAGCTAAGGCCCTGTCTCTTTTTTAATATATGCTTTTATTGATTTAAGAATGGGAGGGAGGCCCTAGCTGGTTTGGCTCACTGGATAGAGTGTCCGCCTGGGCACTGAAGGGTCCCAGGTTCTCTTCCGCTCAAGGGCATGTACCTTGGTTGCAGGCACATCCCCAGTAGCGGGTGTGCAGGAGGCAGCTGATCGATGGTTCTCTGTCATCGATGTTTCTAACTCTCTATCCCTCTCCTTTCCTCTCTGTAAAAAATCAATAAAATATATATTTTTAAAAAAAAAGAATGGGAGGGAGAAGGAGAAAGAGGTAGAAACATCAATGAGCAGAGAGAATCATTGATCAGCTGACTCCTGCACAATGCCCACTGGGGATCGAGTCTAAAACCTGAAGTGTGCCCTGACCAGGAATGGAAACCTGCCCTCCTGGTTCATAGATCTACACTTTACCTCCGAGCCACCCTGGCCGTGCTATACTTCTCTCCTTTATTTAAGAGTCTTCTCTGCATTCATTTTTTTAAATATATATTTTTTTATTGATTTCAGAGAGGAAAGGAAAAGTACAGAGAAATAGAAACATCAATGGTGAGAGCAAATCATTGATTGGCTGCCTCTTGCAAGTCCCTCACTGGGGATTGAGCCTGCAACCCAAGTATATGTCCTTGACCGGAATCGAACCTGGGACCCTTCAGTCTGCAGGCCAACGCTCTATCCACTGAACAAAACTGGCCAGGGCTCTCTGCATTCATTTTATGCAGCCTCTCCAAGGTCAGAAAGCATTCCTACCTTTAATTAATGACTTTCAAGTACTCAGAACGTCCCTTTTGTGACAAATCAACCTGGGAAGGCAGCCATGCCTGACATCCCTATTGGGATGGGGTCAGAGGCTCTTGTGTCTTGAAGAAGGGAAATTAAGTTTTAGATTCAAGTGGCTACAGCATCAGCTCTTGATCAGGGGTAAGAAAATGGACATTTGCCGTAACCAGTTTGGCTCAGTGGATAGAGTGTCGGCCTGCAGACTGAGGGGACCCAGGTTCGATTCCGATCAAGGGCATGTACGTTGGTTGCAGGCACCTCCCCAGTGGGGTGTGTGCAGGAGGCGGCTGATTGATGTTTCTCTCTCATTGATGTTTCTAACTCTCTATCCCTCCCCTACCTCTCTGTAAAAAGTCAATAAAATATATATATATTTTTTAAAAAAATGCACATTTTACTGCTCAAAATAGCTCAGAAAAGGTCTGAAAGATGAATAAATAGTAAATAGAAGAGAGTTGCTCACTAGATTAGTACGAAAGACTTGATAGGTAAATATTCCATTAGCTTACAGAACATGAGAGGTACACATGGATTGACACTAAACCATCTTGATTTCATAGTTGTAAAATGTGTGTCTTAGTGCCTAAATTGGTAACATTATTTCAGCTATTTTTTCTCAAGTATGTTTTTATTTCAGAGATGGAGAGGTAGAGATAGAAATATCAATAATGAGAGAGAATCATTGATTGGCTGCCTCCTGTACACCCCACACTGGGAATTGAGCCCACAAACTGGTCGTGTGTCCAGACCGGGAATCAAACCAGTGACCTCTTGGTGCATGGGGCAGCGCTCAACCACTGAGCAACACCTGCTGGACCAGGCAGAATATTCTTATTCTAAGATTACTCAGAGTAAATATCCAACTAGTATTGTAGATTCTATGTGTCCTATTCCATGAGAACTGAATTTCATTAACAGACTCTTTTAGTTCAAAGTTCTATGTGAATTTTTTCTTGTGTTTTCTTTTTCTGTGTATTCACAAGTATGGCACATGATGTGGAAACATTGGCATCACAAATAAAAAGTGAGCTTGTGACAGGTGGAAACACAGGACCCATCTCAGAACCTGGATCAGAATCTGTGTCTTTACAAAAGTTCAGTTAGTTGTGGTCTGCTTCACACTTGAGAAGAAGTCCATATACTTCCAAGCCAGCGTGACATTTCCAGCTGAAAAATAAATATACACTTCTGATCCTGAACGATGCAAACACAGTACTCAGAAATCCATATGCCTGTGTCCATACCTTATTTTTTTACCTTTTTAAAATATATTTTTATTGATTTTTTTTTTAGAATAAGGGAGAGAGAGAGAAAGAGAAACATCAGTGATGAGAGGGAATCATTGGTCAGCTCCCTTCAGCACATCCCATACTGGGGAAGGAGCCCGCAATCCAGGCATGTGCCTTTGGCCGGAATTGAAACCTCGACTCCTCAGTGCATAGTCGGACACTGTATCCACTGAGCCAAACTGCCTAGGGCTATGCCTTAATTTTAAAGTTTATTTTCCTGTAAAGTAAAGTCTGTACCGTGGATTTGTGGACATGTGTCGTCCTCATTTGTCAGTGTTCGAAATCGCATCAGAGAATGTTAGTAGAGCAAAGTGATATTGATGATTCAGGATACTCCCCTAGGTCCAAACCTCTTCTCCTGGCACTGTTTTCATGTTGGGTGACATTATAAACTCTTCTGGTGACCTCTTGGTAAATGTGTCTTTTCTTTCAGGAACCGTTGACCTTCAGGGATGTGGCCATAGATTTCTCTCAGGAGGAGTGGGAATGCCTGGACCCATTACAGCAGAAATTGTACCTGGATGTGATGTCGGAGAATTACAGCAACCTTGCCTCCCTGGGTGAGGATGACTTCCTTCCTGAGTTCCTACTCCACCTGAAGCGTTTTGTTTCCTTTATTATTTTAACATCTCTAAGGGACTTGTTTCTGTGTTAGATTCTTGCTCTCAAGGAACAAATTGGGCCCTAGCTGGTTTGGCTGAGTGGAGAGAGCACTGGTCTGCAGACTGAAAGGTCCCAGGTTTGATTCTTGTCAAGGGCCAATGCCAGGGTTACTGGCTCACACCCCCTACTGGGGATGAGCCTGCAACCAAGGTACATGCCCTTGACCGGAATGGAACCTGGGACCCTTCAGTCCTCAGGCTGACGCTCTATCCAGTGAGCCAAACCAGCTAGGGCTATATATATATATATATTTTTTTTTTTTAATATATTTTATTGATTTTTTACAGAGAGGAAGGGAGAGAGATAGAGAGTTAGAAACATCGATCAGCCGCCTCCTGCACATCTCCTACTGGGGATGTGCCCGCAACCCAGGTATATGCCCTTGACCGGAATTGAACCCGGGACCTTTCAGTCCGCAGGCCGACGCTCTATCCACTGAGCCAAACCAGTTTCGGCTATATATATTTTAAAAGGAACAAATTGAGGTCCTTGGAATAGAAAAGAAAGGCTTTGTGATGTATGTGAATTAGGAACTCAGTGTTTGCACACATTACATGTCGTCTACACTAATTAATGTACTATCAGAAAATAATATTTTCGAAAATCATTTTCTAGAATATTCCAATATTCTACCATGTCTTCTGTCCAGAGGACAACCTGGATTGGAAATGGGAAAGCCTCTATCAAAATTCACACTCCATTTTCTTTTATTTTTTGATTTTTTAAGATTTTGTTGAATTCAGGGAGGAAGGGAGATTTAGAGAGAGATAGAAACTTCAGCTGGGCATTAATTGATTTTTTGTATGTGCCCCGACTATATGTGTTCTCTGTATAAATTGCCAGATATGGAATCACTATGTTTACCGGGTACCTTTTGTAAATATTGGAAAATACTCCATCATGTTTTGTTAGTGGCTGCACTAGTGTGTTTATAATCTTGCTAACAGTGCATCAATGTTCCCATTTCTCCACTTCTTTGGTAATAATTTTTATTTTTAATTTATGGATGATTGGCATCCTGTTAGGTGTTTGGTGGTATTTCATGGTGGTGTCCATTTACATTTCTCTGATGATGAATGAGTTGAACATCATTTAATATGTCCATTGGGCATATTTATGTCCCGTTTGGGAAATGTCTGTACAGGTCCTCTGCCCATTTTTCCATCATATTGTCTTTTTGGTGTTAAGTTGTGAGAGTTTCTTATAAATTTTGGATCTTTAGCTTTTGAGGATGTAACATTGCTGGACTTTTGTTGTTGTTACTCAGTGGTTTCTTTGGTATGCCAAACTTATTCTTTTGTAGTCTCATTTCTTTATTTTTTAGCTTTTTTGTTATGCCTGAAAAGATACACCCAAACCAGTATTTTTCAGAGTGTTGGTAAAGTTCATTGACTATGCTTTCTTCCAATGTTTTAAATGCTTCAGGTCTTCTATTTTAGTTGTTAATTCATGCTGAGTTCATTTTGATGCATGGCCTATGAACGGGATCTAGTTTCATTATTTTTGCATGTATCTGTTCTGTTTTTGTTGCACTACTTGGTGAAGAATCTGTCTTTACCTATTGTGTGTTCTTGCCTTCTATCTTACAGATTAGTTAACCATATAGCTTTAGACATTTTAAAATTCTTTTTTCATGTTGACTTGTAAAAGGTCTGTATATGTTATAGATATTAACTGCTTATCTGATAATATGCTTTGAAGGCCTTTTTCCCCATTTTACTGCTTGTATTTTGAATGCACTGACAATTTGCTTTAATGTGAAGTTATTTTTATATGGGGTTTAATGCCTTTTCACTATTATGTTTTGTTTACCTTTCCTTTTAGTGCTATAATAAAAAATCAAATATTATACTAAGTTTTCTTTATGACCTAGCTGGATTGGCTCAGTGGATAGAGTGTCACCATGTGAACTGAAGGGTCCTGGGTTCAATTTTGATGAAGGGCATATGAGCAGGTTGCAAGCTCCATCTCCAGTAGGGGCCATGCTGGAAGCAGCCAATCAATGAATCTCTTAATGTTTCTCTCTCTCTCTCTCTCTCTCTCTCTCTCTCTCTCTCTCTCTCTCTCTCCTTCTCCCTTCTTCTCTGAAATCAATAAAATATATTTAAAAATAAAAACTAAAACTTTAGTATACCTCTTCTTTTAATATATTGAGTTATTATTAGCTTTATTTTTCAATCTTTTATCTATTTTGGGTTAATATTTGTATATGGTGTTTAATAACAGTCGAACTTCACTCATTCTTTTTTTGTAAAATATATTTTATTGGTTTTTTACAGAGAGGAAGATAGAGGGATAGAGAGTTAGAAACATCGATCAGCTGCCTCCTGCATACCCCCTACTGGGGATGTACCCGCAACCAAGGTACATGCCCCTGACTGGAATCAAACCTGGGACCCTTCAGTCTGCAGACCGATGCTCTATCCATTGAGCCAAACCAGTCAGGGCTTCACTCATTGTTTTACCTGTACACATCTAAGTATCTCAACACTATTCGTATATGTGAAAATATGCTTTACTTCTTTTGTGGTATAGGCACCCTTGTAGAAGATTATTTTACCTCATGCGTGAGAAGTTGTAAGTAGGCTTTTATTCTACAGTGCTTCTTTTTCATAGTTGTTAATCCTCACATGAGCACATTTTTTCCATTGCTTTTCAGAGAGAGTGGAATGGTGGGAGGAAGGAGGGTAGAGAGAGAGGGTAACATCTATGTGAGAGAGACACTTTGACTGCCCCCTGCTGCTCACACCTCAACCCAGGTGGGGTGGGAATTTGCAACTTAGGCATGTGCCCTTTAAGGGGAATTGAACCTGCCACCCTTAAGTGCACAGGATGTTGCTCTAACCCTGAGCCACACTGGCCAGGGCCTACAGTGCTCCTTTATTTACCTGTGTCTTAATGTGTAGATGATACTTTTGGATAACACCAGTTTTGAAATATTTTTTTAAATCAGAAAGTACATTGCTTTTAAGCTTATACTGTCTCTCCCATGTTTTGGTTCCTTGGTGTCCTGTGTCATTTCATACCAATTTTAGGATGAGGTTTGCTAATTTTGTGAAAAGTGTCATTGGGACATGAATAGTGACTGCTTTGAATGTTTATGTCAACCTTGGGTACTCGTGATAGCTTATACTGTTAGCATTCCAATTTAAGGTCATTGCATGTGTAGTTCATTTATTGAGTTCTTATTTAATTACAGCCAGCACTACTTTATACTTAATTTTATTGATTTTAGAGAAAGATAGCAATGGGGGGGGGGGGTGGAAGAGAGAGAGACATACATTTATTTCCCCACTTATTTATGCATTCATTGGTTACTTTTTAATGTCCCCTGAGCACAAATCAAAGCTGCAATGATTTGGTATCAGGACCACACTGTAAACAACTGAGCTACTCGGGAAAGGCGAGAATATCCTTTTCTTATCTGGTGGTATAGGCACCCGTGTTGAAGATCTTTAGTCCCTATTCAGGAGAATTTCTATGTAGGCCTTTTATTCTACCTTGCTTTATTATTTCACATAATGTCTGTATTACAGGTTTTTTATTTTTGGCTTATAATTTTTTTTTTTATTATTGATATCAGAGAGGAAGGGAGAGATAGAAACATCAACCAAGAGGGAGAATTATTGATAGGCTGCCTTCTACATGTCCCCTACTGGTAATTAAACTCACAACCCGGGCCTGTGCCCTTGACAGGAATCAAACCTGGGACCTTTCAGTTCACAGGTCGGCGCTCTATCCACTGAGCCAAACTGGCTAGTCCTGTATTATAGTTTTTGATAACAGAAGCTTTGAAGTATGTTTTAAAATCAAGAAGCCTAAAGCCTTTAATTTCATACATTCTTTTCACGATTGACTTGGTTACATGGAGTCCTGTGACATTCACATTAATTTTAGAAAGAGCTTTTCTATTTCCACTAAAAGTGTCCCTGGGACTTTGATAGGGATTGCTTTGAATGTTTAGGTCACTTTGGGTACTAATGACAGCTGATACTGTTAGCATTGCAAAGTAGGATCACGGAATGTGTTTTCCAACTTACTCTTGTTATTTGATTACAGCCATCAATGTCTGTGTATATGTTTTTTTTGTTAATCCTCACCCTATGGGCTTTTTTTCCATTGAGTTTTAGGTAGTGTGAGAGGGAGGGAGGGGTAGAAACAGAGAGAGAGAGAATAAAATATCGATGTGAGAGAGAGACATCGTTTGTTTGGCTTCCTCACACGTCCCAAACGGGGTTGAGATCTAATCTGCAGCCATTTGCTGGGTGGCCCCATGCTCTAACCACTGATACTGCAGAGAGCAGCCAGTAGTATTTTATACTTTACAGCATACAAGTCATGCACCTTCTTAAGAAGTAAACTGTTAATATTTTATTTTCCATTATGCTGGTAATCATGTAAATACATATTTAATTTGTTATTCTGTATTAATTTCTGTTCCTCTACAGGGACACAGCTAACTTCATTGATTGGTTTTATATACCATGTTTTGAGAAAGTAATTATATACTAGGGGCCCAGCGCACAAAATTCGTGCATGGTGCGGTGGTCCCTGAGCCTGGTCTGCACCTTGCACACTCTTCAATCCGGGATCCCTCTCACAATCTGGGACCACTAGCTCTTTACTGCTCACCTGCCTGCCTGCCTGATTGCCCCTAACCACTCTGCCTGCCAGCCTGATGCACCTAACTGTGCCTTGCCAACCTGATCACCCCTAACTGCCCTCCCCTGCCGGTCTGATTGCCCCTAACTGCTCTCCCCTGCCAGCCTGCTAACTTCTCTCCCCTGCCAGCCTTTTCATCCCTTACCTCCTGTGCCTCAGCCCCCGCCACCGAGACTTTGTCCAAAAGGACATCCGGAAGATGTCTGGTCTAATTAGCATATTACCCTTTTATTAGAATAGATGTTTATAGATATCTATTCTTTTAAAATATATTTTTATTTATTTCAGAGGGGAAGGGAGAGGGAGAGAGAAACATCAATGATGAGAGAGAATCATTGGTTGGTTACCTCCTGCACGCCCCCCACTAGGGATCGAGCCCACAACCCAGGCATGTGCCCTTGACCGCAATCGAATCCAGGACCCTTCAGTCTTCAGGCCGACACTCTATCCACTGAGCCAAACCAGCCAGGGTTATAGATATCTATTCTAATAAAAGAGTAATATGCTAATTAGACCGGGTTGACTCTCCGTCTTCCGGACGTCTGACTTCCTTCTGGACAAAGCCCTGGTGGTGGAGGTCAACACAGAGGCAGTTAGGGGTGATCAGGCCAGCAGGGGAGGGCAGTTGGGGGTGAGATCAGGCCGGCAGGGGAGGGCAGTTAGGGGCGATTAGGCAGGCAGGCAGAGGTAGTTAGGGGTGATCAGGCCAGCAGGGGAGGGCAGTTGGGGGCGATTAGGCAGGCAGGCAGAGGTAGTTAGGGGTGATCATGCAGGCAGGCAGGTGAGCGGTTAGGAGCCAGTGATCCCAGATTACGAGAGGGATGTCCGACTGCCGTTTAGGAATCAGACATCCCCCAAGGGGTCCACGATTGGAGAGGGTGCAGGCTGGACTGAGGGAACTCCCCCCCCCCCAAGTGCATGGATTTCGTGCACCGGGCCACTGGTGTGTATATATTTTTAGAAATGTGGTATCTGTGATTTGCAATACAGAATTCTGACACCTATAAACAGAGATTTTGTTTATTTTCTATTTTTTGTTGAGAGCATGAGAACTACTTAAAATATCTTAAGGTTATAACAATGTACCTTAAACTCATAATGTCAATTGCATACAAATCTCTGCTGATTGCCATTTCTACCCATGTACCCACATAAGTTGATTTCACATTATCTTTGATGTTGTTTGTCTTATAGAAGAGATTTAAGATTTTATTTATTTTTTATAAATACATTTTTTATATTAATTTCGAGAAGAATGAGATGAGAAAAGAGAAAGAAATATCCATGATGAGAGAGAATCATTGATTGGCCACCTCCTGCACACCCCACACTGGGGAATGAGCCCAAAACACAGGCATGTGCCCTGACCGGGGATCAAACTGTGACCTGATTCACAGATAGACACTTAACTACTGAGCCACTCAGGTCAGACAATTCCTTTTATTTTCTAAAGTTACACAAGAGAAATCAAATTGATATGTGTTTCTTTAATATAACACCACAAATTTTTACATTTCTGTATATTTTTCCACATACAAGGCATCTTTATTTGTTCATATGTTAGTGTTGTCTAGAATTTTTAAATTACCCCCAGAAATATATTTGTTACGGATTTTTTATAGGGCCAGTCTAATAATAAAAAAGTTTTCGAGCTGGAAAAGTTTTTTCCTCGCTATTGTTTATCATCTATTCTGTCAACATTCTTTTTGGGTGGTTTTTGTTCATTCATCAGTTCCTTGTTTTATTCATACCCTTTCCCCCCCCAATAGTTTTCTGCTTAGAAACCTCTTAATAATCTTAGAGGAGCTGTCTTTTCCATGAGGAATTATTTTTTTATATGTTTTGAGAAAATATTCTGGGACTCATGATATTTTCATTGTTTTTTTCTGTTCTCATGTTTATATTTATTCTACTTAGAAGTCAATGAGCTACTTGCATTTGTATGTCACTTTATATAAGCTGCCTACTCCTTTTCACTGTTCTGTCTCTATGGGGTTGCCTTTATGGTCGATTTATTAGTGTCTTAGGAGTTCCTTAAATTCTCTTCACATTTCCACATATTTGTAGACTTCTCTGAATCAAAATTTTAATGCTTTATGTACAAATGTTTTGATTATTTCATTACTAATTTTAAATGTATCTGTATTGATTTCATAGAGGAAAGGAGAGGGAGAGAGAAATAGAAACATCAGTGAAGAGAGAGAATCATCGATCAGCTGCTTCCTATACATTCGGGGATTGAGCCTTTAACCCAGGCCTGTGCCCTGTTGTGGAGCCAAACTGTGATTTCCTAATTCATAGGTTGAAGCTCTACCACTGAGCCACCACTAGTGGGCAAATTCTTTGATGTTTTGAGTTGATCACGTCTTTCATTTATGATTCTACTGTATTTATTTTTATTTTTTTAATATATTTTATTGATTTTTTACAGAGAGGAAGGGAGAGGGATAGAGAGTTAGAAACATTGATGAGAGAGAAACATCAATCAGCTGCCTCCTGCACACTCCCTGCTAGGAATGTGCCCGCAACCCAGGCACATGCCCTTGACCGGAATTGAACCTGGGACCCTTCAGTCAGCAGGCCGACGCTCTATCCACTGAGCCAAACCGGTTAGGACATCTACTGTATTTTTTAATTTGGGTATTATGTATTTCAATTTCTCCTTTCGGTGTGATGTTTGTAAAATATTTTCTCATTGTATTTTTATTTTGATGATATAATATTTTGGTGATATTAAATAATTGTCTTTTTTTTCCTTCTTTCTGGCATTAAGATATTTATTTCCCATTCTTTTTGAGGTAATTAATATATTTCCATTAATGTAGTGCCAGTTTGAATATATTTGTTTTGTTTTCCTGATGGTACACTTTTTTTTTCATGACTTGATATCTTTTGTTGAGATTCCTGAATTATAAAGTAGCAGTCTTTCGAACATGCTTTTTATAAGAAGAAACAAATAATAACCATTTGTGGGACAAATTCTTCTTTTGGTCAACACTCTTTTCAGTACAGTGGGGCCTTTACTTACAAGTGTCCCGACTAACGAGTTTTTTGAGATAGGAGCCGTCTCTCGGCCGATTTTTTGCTTTGAGTTTCGAGCTAAAATTCGGGTTACGAGCCAGCTTCAGATACCCCACCGCTAGTTGGCGCAGCGAACGTCATAGTGAACGCCACAACATCAGCCCAGCATCACGTGTCTCACTCGTTCACTTTAATGATTTGACATACGAGTAATTTGAGTTACGAGCTCCGTCGTGGAACGAATTAAACTCGTAAGTCAAGGCCCCACTGTATCTCTATTATTGGTTCAGTTGTCTGTTTAATTTCACAATTGGAAATGTTCTCTGTTTTCTTCTCAGACACATGATATCTTTTCAGAGTTGATATACATCTTCAGTACCTCAGTCTTTGTGGTGCTCGAACACTTTCTCATTGTTTCTTTGTAGCAGCCTCTGCAGGTCACTTACTGTGGATTGCCATTCTGTTCACACTCTGTCATGCACAACAGACACTTGTTCAAGATGCTTCAAAACAGGTAGATCATTGAACATGTACTTCCCTCATCTCTCTCCAGTGAAAAAACTGGGAGTTGGGAGAGTTTTTATAATGTTGCCATTGTGTGCCAGGGGGTTTGAGCAGGTATCATTGGCAAATGTAAGCAACTCTTTGTCTCTCCTTGATGTGAATTTTCCTCATTGTACTTATCTTGAACTTTCATTGAATCCTTCACTGGCTCTTGGAGTACTCAAAACTGTCACTTGGCCTATATTGGTGGTAACTTCAAAGTGCACTCACCTGGTTGTCAAAACTGAACATTTGTTTTCTTTCAGTTATGTCATCTGAAGATGACCAGGCCTTTATGCCAAAGTCCGGAATACAAGATTTATTCTCTGAAAAAATACTGGTAAGATATAAAAGTTGTCACTTTGATAATGTATACTTAATGAAAACTTTGGAATTTCAGAACAGTGTGATGAGAAGAGAGAGAATTAATATAAACAAAACTAATGTGTAACTGTTTTCATAATAAAATTGAGATTACCTATCGAGTAGAGGTTAAGTGTAGTATGCATTTGGGAAACCTTCAGTATTAAAGTTAGTTACATTGGCAGATCAGTGTGTTTCTGCACATGAAGATTGAAAACAACTTTTTACTGTTATGCATTCTTGGAAAGGAAATCTGGAAAAACTAGGAATTCACATAGTCTGTAGTGTAAATAGTCCTTTGAATTGTTTAAAATGTAGGGTGGGATTATATTTTCATGCAATCATTTCTAAAATGTAGAGATTTATAATGTGCCTCTAAAATTTAAATGTACTCAGTTTGGAAATCTTATTATTATTACTTTTAAATATATTTTTATTAAATTCATAGAGGGGGAGAGAGAGAGAGAGAGAGAGAAAGAGAGAGAGAGAGAGAGAAACATCAATGATAAGAGAGAATCATTGATTGGCTGCCTTCTGCTTGCCCCCCCCAAGGATTAAACCTGCAACCTGAGCATGTGCCCTTGATTGGAATGTTACCTGGGAGCCTTCAGTCCTCAGGGAAATGCTCTATCCTCTGAGCCAATCCAGCTAGAGATTTTATTTTATTTATTTATTTTTACTATGATAACATTTATTCATTTATTTTTAAATTGTCTTTTCTTTTTTTTATTTTAAAGTTTTATTGAAAGGAGTAGCATTTTTTTTTAATGAAACATTTCTTGTACCCCATTATATAAAAATATTAATAATGGAGTTACTCATTTCAAATTGTAGTTCAGTTCTCATTTCATACTGTCACCTCCTTCAGTTCTTTCTGAAGCAGTTAGACAGTATAAAATAGTCAATCTTCAATGCATTAGTTAGAATTCTCCTGGGCCTGGCTGTCGGATGGGATGGCGCTGCTGTTACTCTTGCCTTTGCCCTACATGCTTGTGCCGAGAGCAGCTCCCACTGACACGGACCTGTCAACTCATCACAGCCTCCTCAGGAATAGCCCCATCCCCATGGCGACCCATGCAGCCACCCCCACTATTGGCCCCTCCACGCCAAAGCTCCGCCCCCTTCTCCTAGGCAGCTGACAGACCTCCTCCTCCCTCCCTAAATTTTATTTTCTTGTGTAAAGTTTTAGAAATAGTAGTATATATGTCTCCTTTTTTTTCCCCATTGACCTTTCCCCAGGCTTCCTTACCGCCCCCCTCCCCCCAAGCACATGCCCTTACCCCGCCCCCCTAGTGTCTTCTGTCCATTAGTTATGCTTATATGCATGCATATAAGTCCTTTGATTGATTCTTGCCCCCCTTATTTTATTTTTATTAAAATACATATTTTAATTGATTTTAGATAGGAATGTAGAGGAAGACAGAGAGGCAAACATCAATGAGAGTCAATTATTTCTTGGCTGCCTCCTGCTTTCCTCACACTGGGAACCGAATCCAAATCCAGGGATTGTGCCTGACCCAGAATGGAACCCCAACCATCTTATTCATACATCAAAGCTCAACCAATGAGCCATGCTTGCTAGGCAATTTGGCAGTCTTTTAAACAAGGATTTATTCTTCCTCTGAAAATTAATGTTTTGTATTTATTTTTTGTGTATAATTTTAATAAATTAGGAAAGCATTTTCTATACAACTCTCTTGTTTTAATGAGTATCATAAAATGGTTCTTATGGAAGAAGTGTACATGATTAATAAATTTATAACTATCATTAAAGGCCTTTCTGTCTCCCATTATCTCCAGAGTACATATAATGGAGACCAAAGTTATCAGTGGTATGAACATTGGAATAACTTTAAGCAAGAGTCATACCTTAATAATCAGTGGAGAAGCGAGCTTCCAGAGGACCATTATAAAAGTGGAAAAGTCATTGACCAAATGTCCAATCACACTACACATCAAGTTATTCCTATTGTGGAGAAGACATACAAAGGCAGTAAATATGTCCAGTCTTTTCAGCAGTTTTCAAATTACACTGAACAAGAGAATATTCATATCGGGGAGGAGGCTGACAAATGGAATCCTTGTGGTAGACTCTCCAGTCAAATATTCAATCTAAATATAATGGAAAAAATCCATAATGGAGAAAAAACTTATAAATGTAAAGATTCTGATAGAACATCTAATTGGCCTTCAGGTTGTACTCTAAATCAGAGAATTCAGACTGGAGGGAAGTCTTACAAATGTAAAGCATGTGGCAAAGCCTTTAAATGTCATTCTTCTCTTATTGTACATAAGGGAAGAATTCATACTATTGCAAAATTTTGCAAGCTCAGAGAAGATGGAAAAGGCTTTAGTCAGTTCTCAAGACATACTCAACATCATAGAAATCATACAGGAGAAAAGTCTTATAAATGTTCAGAATGTGACAAAGCCTTTACCCGGAGCTCAACCCTTAGTATTCATCAGAGAATTCACACTGGAGAGAAACCTTATGACTGTAGAGATTGTGGCAAAGCCTATGGAAGCTCCTCAGACCTTACTAAGCATCAGAGAGTTCATACTGGAGAGAAGCCTTATAAATGTAGAGAATGTGGCAAAGCCTTTAGATGGTCCTCAGATCTTACTAAGCATCAGAGAGTTCATACTGGAGAACAGCCTTATAAATGTAGAGAATGTGGCAAAGCCTTTTCACTGTCCTTATACCTTACTAAGCATCAGAGAGTTCATACTGAAGAGAAGCCTTACATATGTGGAGAATGTGGCAAAGCCTTTACACTGTCCTTATACCTTAGTAGGCATCAGAGACTTCATACTGGAGAGAAGCCCCATAAATGTGGAGAATGTGGCAAAGCCTTTAGATGGTTCTCACATCTTACTATGCATCAGAGAGTTCATACTGGAGTGCAGCCTTATAAATGTAGGGGATGTGGCAAAGCCTTTAGATGGGCCTCAGACCTTACTACGCATCAGAGAGTTCATACGGGAGAAAAACCTTATAAATGTAGAGAATGTGGCAAAGTCTTCAGCCGGCCCTCAACCCTTCGTATTCATCAGAGACTTCATACTGGAGAGAAGCTTTATAAATGTAATGAATGTGGCAGAGCCTTTACACAGTCCTCACACCTTACTTCTCATCAGAAAATTCACACTGGTGTGGAGTCTTATAAATGTAGGGAATGTGGCAAAATCTTCAGTGGAGCATCAGAACTTACTTATCAGAGACTTCACAGTGGAGAGAACCCTTATATATGTAGAGAATGTGGCAAAACCTTCAGTGTAGCATCATACCTTACTTATCAGAGAGTTGACACTGGAGAAAAGCCTTATAAATGTACTGAATGCGGCAAAGTCTTTAGCCAATCCTCACACTTTACTTGTCATCAAAGAGTTCACACAGGAGAGAAACCTTATAAATGTAGGGAATGTGGCAAAGCCTTTGGCAGCTCCTCAGGCCTTACTAGGCATCAGAGAGTTCATACTGGAGAGAAACCTTATAAATGTAGAGAATGTGGCAAAGCCTTTAGATGGTCCGCAGATCTTATTCCACATCAGAGAGTTCATACTGGAGAAAAACCTTATAAATGTGGAGAATGTGGCAAAGCCTTTAGAAGATCCTCAGATCTTTCTAATCATCAGAGAGTTCATACTGGAGAAAAGCCTTATAAGTGTAGAGAATGTGGCAAAACCTTTACACTGTCCTTATATCTGACTAGGCATCAAAGAGTTCATACTCAAGAGAAGCCTTACATATGTGGAGAATGTGGCAAAGCCTTTACACTGTACTCATACCTTACTAGGCATCAGAGACTTCATACTGGAGAGAAGCCTCATAAATGTGAAGAATGTGGCAAAGCCTTTAGATGGTCCTCACACCTTACTACGCATCAGAGAGTTCATACTGGAGAAAAACCTTGTAAATATACCGACTGTGGTGAAGTCTTTAGCCAGCCCTCAACTCTTAGTATTCATCAGAGACTTCATACTGAAGAGAAGCTTTATAAGTGTAATGAATGTGGCAAAGCCTTTACACAGTCCTCAGACCTTACTTCTCATCAGAGAATTCACACCGGAGAGGAATATTGTAGAGAATGGCAAAATCTTGAGTGGAGCATCAGACCTTACATATCAGAGACTTCACAATGGAGAGAACCCTTATATATGTAGAGAATGTTGCAAAACCTTCAGTGTAACATCATACCTTATCATCAGAGTTCACACCGGAGAGAAGCCTTATAAATGTAGAGAATGTGGCAAATTCATTGGCAGTTCTTCAAAATTTATTTTGAAGAGGAAAATGCACAGCAGAGAGATCATACTGGAGAGAAGCCTTATAAATGTAGAAAGTGTGAGAAACCTTTTATTTACTGGTCCTGCTGTACTTGACCGCATAGATTTCATAGTTGAGAGAAGTCTTAGAGATGTGTGGAGTTTGGTAAGTCCTTGGCTACTAGTGAGAACGTACTGTACATTACAGTATTCACTCTGGAAAGAAGCCTTATGAATATGAAAAATGTAAAAAAGCCTTGAAAAGTCATTCGGGTATCATTGTACTTGAGAGACTTCCTAACAGAGATTGACCTTACAAATGTAGAGAATAAGCTGGAGCCTTTACCCACAGCTCAAAATTTACTCAACATCAGAGATTTTATACTGGTGGAAACCTTACACTGTAGAAAATGTGAGAAAGCACTGGCTGGCATTCCTCGGTTGTTTGTTTTGACCTATGAACTACAAGGTTAGGGGGCAATTCCTGGTCAGGGCACATGCCCTGGTTGCAGACTCGATCTCCAGTGTGTGGCATGCACTCTCCTCTGAAAACAATAAAATATATATTTTGAAAAAAGAAAAAATGTGAGGAAACCTTTGGTCTGTGTGTATTCCTTCCTGTATATCAGAGAGTTTATACTGGAGAAAAACCTTGCAAATGTGACGAGTGATGTTAATCCTTTTCTAGTCAATGGAGTCTTATTTAGCATCATAGAACTCTTTGTGAAGGAAAGCCTTACAACTGTGAAGACTGAGGCACAACTTTTAATTACCATTGTCTTGCTCAACACAAGAGAGCGTACTGGAGGGAACACCTATAAATGTATTTTGTGTGACTTTGATAAACAGTTGGGTTGCCCACACTGTGTTTCTCCTTGGTAGAGCGTCGACCCATGAACTGGGAAGTCTGTGCTCATTTCCCAATCAAGGCTCATGCCCTGTTTGTGGGCTAGATACCCAGTAGGGTTCGTGCAAGTGCAGCTGATTGATGATTCTTTGTTATCATTGCTGTTTCTATCTATTTCCCTCCCCCTTCTTCTCTCTCAAACCCTATACCAGTGATGTTGTAGTACAAGATAGGAGATGTTTCATACCCAGGATGCAGAATTGCCATGAACTCTGCATTTGAGAGAGGACACCTGTTTCCGAGCTGCACTCCTAGGTAAACACAGAAAATTAACTTAATTTCATTTTCTATTTCATATTTCTGTGTTGTGTTTTTTTCCTCATTTTTCTACTCAACTGATACTCTTTTCTGCAGTGCTATAACAATGGCATTTAAACCTCTTCTCTTCCACATCAGCCCTTCTGGCCCCTATAGCTTCTGTTCTGTACTTTAGAATTTTACTAATGCAATAATTGACACCAGAATTGGGAAGTATTTTGCTTTATATTCATGAAGTAGGAGGACCACCATTTGTTTTCATGCTGGATTCTGGATTTTGAATATGAATATTAATTTTTGTGTACTTCATAACTGGAATGATTTTTCTTGTCCTGATTTTCATTGGTGTCCTTAAGAATTTCTTAGTGTAATGTAGCTGGTTTCGCTCAGTGTATAGAACGTCAGCCTGTGGGATGAATGATCCCAGGTTTGATTCCTGTCATGGACAAATGCCTGGATTGTGGGCTCGATCCCCAGTGGCGGGTGTGCAGGAGGCAGCCAATCAATGATTCTCTCATCATTGATGTTTCTCTCTCTCCCTCTTCTTTCCTCTCTGAAATCAATAAAGGAAGAAAAAAAAACAATTTCTCAGTGTTACCTCATTAACTTATTTTGGGGGATGGGTTCAGCCCGTGTTAGATTTTATTGTCAATTACTTAAATGTAGCTGGATATTGGTCATTCTTTCAAGAGGAATCCCAGAGAACATGGCAGATTTGCGGTTGAAAAATTTTATTATTTTGCATCAAAGTTGTTATGTATATTGACAGCATGACCACAGTTATGTTCATAGGCATTAGTTGTCCCTGCAGTGTTTTCCCAAGCCGTGACTGTAAATTTCAGGGACAGCAGGATAGCAGAAATTGAAATGAAAAGCCCCATATTTATTGCTTCTCCAGTGTACTGTTGTAAATTTGTACAAGCTGGTAAATATTAGTTCTTTTTCATGGGCCATCCCAACGGATCACACAATGGTTAAAAAACTAGATATTGGATACTCTTCTACTTCCTGACATTCCCATGGGGCATTTATACATATAAGAATCTCCTGATATTTTGTGACTAGGTCTCTCTCTGGATGAGGGGCTTTATGGTTTTGTTCTGTTTGGGACAAACTATTAGATCCGGATCATTCATAGGAATTTGATGTCACCTAGACAATAGTTCCATTTTCTGGTATTTGATGTCACCTAGACAATAGTTCCATTTTCTGGTACTGCCGTGAGGAAAGTTGAGGAGGTGTATTGGTGCAAAATATACATAAGATTTGTTTTTCACATGGTCATTTGGAAAATAGAGAAATAGACATTGTTTCTAGGTTTAGACAGTCTTCTGTCTTCATTTTGTCCAGAATGCATATTCTTCTGCTTTGGGTTGCAAAGCTCTTAAGTCAGAGATTTCAACATATTTTATCTCACGGCACAAATGGAAGAATTACTGAAATTCAGAGGTCCACCAAAATATATATTTTTCCAGTCTGTCCAAAAAAATGTCTGACTTTGTTTTTTTTTTGTTTTGTTTTTAAATATATTTTATTGATTTTTTTACAGAGAGGAAGGGAGAGAGATAGAGAGTTAGAAACATCGATCAGCTGCCTCCTGCACATCTCCCACTGGGGATGTGCCCGCAACCCAGGTACATGCCCTTGACCAGAATCGAACCTGGGACCTTTCAGTCCGCAGGCCGACGCTCTATCCACTGAGCCAAAGCGGTTTCAGCCTGACTTTGAATTATGCTCACCACACAGCTATTACTGTGCTGGCTGTTGTCACTTATTTTAATTCGACAATCTATGGGTAATGTAGTCTCTGGTGTTGACTAAATAGCCAGGTGTTGCTTGTTCTAAAAAATGTTGCAGCACACCAGTCTCCTTGTGTGACACTCAGTTGATAATCTCTGTTATCCAATCCATCTTGTCTAATGAATCATTTAAGACCACTTTTTCCGTGTTGACATTTTTTTTCTGGCATATCTATCCATTGATGTCAATGGGAAGCTAAAGTCCCCAGCTAGGACTGTATTAATTAATTTTAAAATGCTAATAACTACACACCTATCAATAATCACAATATAAGGGGGTTAACTTCAACCAGAAAACACAGGGTAACTGGATGGATATGAGATCTATACCCATACTTATGCTGTCTAAATGAAACCCATTTCAGATCAAAAGACATCTCATGAAAGTAAAGGGTTGGGGAAAAAAAGTTATTTCATCTCTACCTTTGGGCCCCAAAGAAACTACTCTGCAGAGAATTTTGCTCTAGTAAAAGCTCTAATCTTGGACTGTGTACATTTAATATAGGCACGAGGATAACTGCTCAGTGTTAGCTGACCCATGTGGAAGTGCTGCCTTTTAGTGAAGTCAGCACATAAACAGTTTTTCATTTACCCAGAAATTTGTTTGGGAAGGAAAAGTAGGAGACATTCCACATTATTATCAATGGCCCATTATTGAGATTATAGGGACTACTAAATAACATTCATTTGACAATGTACTCCCAGAATACAAAGACTTCAAAGATCACAACTTATTACCAGAATATATTTATCTGTTGAAAAATATATTAATTAAAATTTCTCTCCCACAGTGTTGGAAGGTACCTTATGTTATCAGGTGCCTAATCATAAATGGACATCTGTGTCTGTCTCTGACACTTCCCTTCATCTACAATAGAAATCAGACTTTTCAAAAATGAACAGCCCAATCATCATAAATAGCCAGGCATTCTAAGACACTGGTGCAGCCTGTCAAATAAATGTTACTCCTAGTATTAGTAATAGTAATAATAATAAGAGGCTTTTCTCAAACCGATATGTATATATATTATAGCTATTAATATTACTGAAGGTGTATTATATGCCTTTAAACTACAAGTATAAGAAAATATACTAAACGCAATACACAGTAAATAAAACCTGAATCATAATAACTTATAAATTAAAACGAATCTATTGTGCCTTGCAGGTGTGGCTCGGTTATTGAGCATAGAACTAGGAACTGGGAGGTCAGAGTTTCATTCCAGGTCAGTGCACATGCCAGGGTTGCGGGCTCCATCCCCAGGGAGGTGAATGCAGGAGACAGCTGACATAGGATTCTCGGTCATCATTCATGTTGCTCTCTCTCCTTCTCCTTTCCTCTCTGAAATCAATAAAAATCTATTTTTTTAAAAAATTGCTTGGCCCAGCCGGGTGTAGCTCAGCGGTAGAGCGTCGACCTAGGAACCAAGAGGTCCCCAGTTCGATTCCCGGTCAGGGCATATGCCCGGGTTGCGGGCTTGGTCCCCAGTGGGGGGCATGCAGGAGGCAGCCAATCAGTGATTCTCTCTCATTGATGTTTCTTTCCTCTCTGAAATCAATAAAAATCTATTTTTTTTTAAAAAAATTGCTTGTTATACTTAATAGAGACCCATAAGACTTGACTGCCATCCAAGGTTACAGTCTTTCTCCATCCCCAATAGTCCATTATTTATGAAGAAAAACTAAGACTGAGCCTTCCCAGTACCAGGGCACCTCATTATCCTACAAAAAGTTGGCTCCTCAATACTTCCTTTGGATTGATTTATGTCCCAAACGTAATGTGTGCATGAAAAGGGGACACATGCTAACTTAACAAGCTCGTTGAAGGCCTGCATTTCAATCTTTCAAAGTCAGAGACCTAAAGTAACCAGAAAGGATGGTCTGAAATGAAAATCTTTTTAAAAGCAGTTTTTAGCAGGTAGGTCCTAGGCAAGAATATTTCTTAACAAGAGGGAATCCTTACCTAAGCCTGTCTATTGCCTTTTGCAGCCAGGATAACATTCCTTTGGAATATCAGGGTAACTCCCCCTTTTCCAGAGCCCTCAGGACGCAACCAGTGCACCAGGGGGAAACCATAAACCCTCTCATTGTTATTATGTTAATTGTTCACTGTTAATTAAGGTGTGTACACTTATATAAACGACATGTATCAGTCATTTTACTTTTTATCCACTCACAGAGGTTTCGAAACCTCACTCGGCTCTCCCCCATCTCTCTATCACCAATGGATTTCATATAACCCACTTCCAACTTCTCTCTCTCTTTTTTTTTTTTTTAATAAGGGGTGGCAGATGAATGGTTGAGATTTTATTGCAGTGAAAGTGGAAGGGAATGCTAGAATGGGCTGTTATCCAAGGGAAAAGAAAAAGGTAAGGCAAGGAGCAGTTGAGGCCAGGGGCCTGGATGGTTGTTAAGAAGTAAGACACTCACCGTAACCAGTTTGGCTCAGTGGATAGAGTGTTGGCCTGTGGACTGAGGGGGTCCCAGGTTCGATTCCTGTCAGGGGCATGTGCCTTGGTTGCGGGCACATCCCCAGTGGGAGGTGTGCAGGAGGCAGCTCATCGATGTTACTCTCTCATTGATGTTTCTAACTCTCTATCTCTCTCCCTTCCTCTCTGTAATCTACACTAATAAAAGAGAAACATGGTAATTAGCGTACGACCGCTACCCTTTTCATTGGCTAATCAGGGCGATATGCAAATTAACTGCCAACTAAGATGGTGGTTAACTGCCAACAAAGATGGCGGTTAATTTGCATATGTAGGCACAATGCAGGGAGGCGAAAAGGAAAGCAGGAAGAAGCCCCCTGCCACTGACAGTGATCGGAAACCCAGGGGGGAGCTAAGAGCTGGCCGCCTTTGCCCTTCCTCCCAGCCATGATCCGAGAATCAGGCGCCTTTGCCGCCCTGGCCAGTGATAGCGGGAAGTAGGGGTGGAGCCAGCGATGGGAGCTGGGCAAGGGCTAAGCTGGCAGTTCCAGGAGCTTCCCAGACCCGCACCCGGCTTCTGTGATCCGTGACCACAGAAGCTGGGTGCGGGTCAGGGAAGCGTCCGCCACCAGCGTCCCTGGCCGTGGCTTCCCTGTCCCCCACCCGGCTTCTGAGATCGGAGACTGCAGAAGCTGGGTGCGCCAGCTTCCCGCCCGCACCCGGCTTCTGCAATCCGTGACCGCAGAAGCTGGGTGCGGGTCAGGGAAGAGTCCGCCGCCAGCATCCCTGGCCCCGGCTTCCCTGCCCAGCACCCGGCTTCTGCGATCTGCGATCCATGACCGCAGAAGCTCGGTGCACCAGCTCCCCAGCTGTGGCTTCCCTGCCCCGCACCCGGCTTCTGGGATGGGTGAGCTTCTGGGATGGGTGATCACAGAAGCCCAGTGCAGGGGCGATCACAGAAGCCAGGTGCGTGGGCAGGGAAGCAGCTCAGCCAGCTTTCCTGGCTGGGGCTTCCCTGCCCCACACCTGGCTTCTGCAATTGGTGATGCCTATTTCTGCATGACACTTAACTGACTACCCTCCCTTGAAGCACAGAAGAAGAAGAAGCCCCCAGAAGAAGAAGCCACCCACCTTTGGTCCTGGCACCAGCACCTGGGGCTGGCTGCAGCCCAGGAGATGGACAAGCTACTGGCCAGAGGTCCCAGGCTGCAGCCACCTGGAGAAGCTAC